CAAATAGAAAAAATGAACTTTTACCCATGAGTCTGAAGCAGGAGGCATCCCTTGATCAACTGTAAGCTTCTCAAAAGCCTTGATAATGTGATCTTTAAGAGATCCATCAGGCAATTCTATCTCAGAGAATATGGAGAGAATTTCTGGTTCAAATGCAGGACTTTTAACGAACTCAACAAGGTCTTCGCCATCCATACGAAGAAGTACAATTGGATCTCTCTTTAGACCAGCAGCCATGCCTAGTAGAATATCTGAAAGAACCTCTTTGAACTCAGTCTTGCTTACTTTCTCTTGTTTTCCATGTGTGAACTCTTGAAGAACCTTTCACATGCAACACGTCCCCCTAATCAGAATTAGATCAAACAGGATAACAGAAAGAGGTAACAATATAAAACTGGATTCAGTGAAAGAGAATACTGAGGTAACAAAATGAGCATAAGTTTGTAACATCCAGTGCTGAAAAGTTTGTCTTAGGTAAATCCTATATCGGAATGAGAGGGAATAATTAGGGACCATACAAGGTAGGATCAGAAATTCATGTGTCGAGGCGCCTTTTGGGTTAAAGCATAAGGAGACAATATTGTGAGGCCCAAATGCTTGACCTGGGCCACTACACCATTTCAGTTTTAGCATGCCTCTAAGAAAAATCCTCTATATATTAGAATCTCATATTTACAAGGCATGGCTTCAAGGTTTTAGCTCACAATATAGTTGTAGCCTTTATGATAATTGAAGATGTCTTGGCCCATAGTACAACCACAAAAATCTGGCAAGCATGCCAACTTATTACTCCTCTTTTAGCAAGCATATGTTGTCACATCAGCTTTTAACATGCGCATAGAAGGTCATACTTACAATTCTGGATTGTGCTAATCATGTAAAATTGACTGGTTAGCTATGTCTAATTACATCACTACCCGACTTAATTGATTCTTTTTCTTTCTTTTTGTAAAAGCTACTTATAGAGAGAGGATGTTTGAATCTTAAGGTGATTAAACAAAACAGTTTTGGCACAGAGATGCAAAGTCGAACTAAGCTTTATATGCATAGGACTGAATTTTTTTTAACAATATTAGAACAATTTAACTGGATAAAGCATGTAGTTATTCTATTATTCAGGTTATCGTATTAGACTTGCTAGAAATTAATTGTATGCAACTTAATGTGCACAGAATTTAACCTTCTTTTTTTAAAAATCTATCTTCACTAAATGCACCTAGGAATCAGGTGCAGAAATCTCTCAGTCAACAACAGCAGGAAAAAGAATAAAACGACGGCCAGAGGAAACAACGAGGAAGTTTCATCTGATCCCAAATATAGCTACTGTTCTGTAGTAGATACCAGATTCAGAATTCCAGATAATGGTAGAAGAACGTAGTATAGATAAGTGCAAAAAACTTGGACCTAGAAAATAGGTAAGTGCAAAAATCCATATGATAGTTGAAACTAGAAAGTCAAACAAATGAGATCACATACAAAATATAGAAACTTGGACCTTTGAATAAAAAACGGAGTAAATAAACCGACAGTCCAGACACCAAAAGCAAACTGAGTGGCTTTGTCAGCTCTACCACTCCCATCACTAAACATCTGGCTATACGACCCATACCATCTCCGTAATTTGCATTTACCATTTCTCTAAATTTTCGAGTACAAGAGTGAGAATTAACAGTCAATGAAGTAGATAAAAATTAGGAAATCACCTAGTCGAAACAAACGACAGCAAGTGGTTTACTTTATTTTTCTTACGTTTTGGTAGATAGAGTTACTGGATCATTGCGTGCAAACCGGCCCGACCTTTCTTCTTTTTTTAATGTTCCTCTTGACCTTAACTTTGGTTAATATGGTATTTAGCGAGAAATCCAAAGATTATAACTTCATCAAAAGAAAAAAGAAACAAAGAAATCAACAGAAGCAAAGACCAATTAAACACAAAAACTTGAGTGGTATGTTCCAAAAATAATATAGAAGGAAGTGATCAAGAGAAATAGTCCGAGTGAGCCATTAAACTAGGCCTCATTCTTGATTCTTAGACAAGAAAAAAAAGAGAACAATTTACCACCACATTTACAACTTAGGAAGCATAAAAAAGAGGGTATTTTACCGTGACAAATTACCTCAGAGTAAATATGATCAGATTCAGGAGAAGAACCTTGAGCAGGTAAACCAAGAGCAACACCAATATCAGCAACAGCAGGTTGTAACTCCTTTACAGAAAGCTTACCGTCTTGGTCTATGTCCAGTTCTTCAAACTTATGATCTACAAAATTACTAAACACTGCCTCATTTCCAACTAACTTCATTATATCTGAACCGTCCATCACTTCATTTTTCTCCATTTTCTTTTCACTTTCTAACTTTCTAGTATACTTCTCGTGACTAAATTTTCTTTCTTTTCAAAAGGGTGTGTCTTAAATCAATGTATAGTGCAATTTCTTGAGTGAATTCTAGAGAAAAAGATGTTATACTTATATGTGGTTGGGACAGCTGGGGCGGTTAGGGTGGCATTTGTACGAAGTCTTTGTGACCTCATGGGATTTGAACTTTTTGTTTACTATAGTTGTCTCTGGTCGGCAATTTAACATGTGACGCGTGTCCAATTTTTACGGGGCACGTCTACCGTAGTGTACACGTAATTTGGTTCTCGTGGGCCAGGGCTTAGGGAGAGAAAGGAGTTATGGACCGGGTGAGGAGAGAAATGTAAAAATAACACGGGCTACTCAGTTTTCGAACTAGTAATTCAAAAATAGTCAGCGTTTGCAAAGTCATTAAAAAATAATCACTATTTTGCTGCAACATGGACCGGTCCAGCATAATATACTGGAGATTTGTGCACTTGTGTATGAACTTCCAGCATATTATGCTGTAACTCCAACACGCGGAAAGTTCCAGCATAATATACTGGAGATTGGAGCACATGTGTATGAACTTCCAGCATATTATGCTGGACCGGTATATTATACTAGAACTCCAGTATATTATGCTGGAATATTTTTCAGACTTTGAATAGTGTTTCGTTCAGATTTATCTTTACATAAAAAATAGCTAAATTTCAATTACTTTTGAAACTGTGACTATTTTTCAATTATCACTTATAAATCTGGTTATTTTTTAATTTCTCCCTAGAATTTTGGATTCCTTGGGCTTTGTTTGTGTGGCTTCAATGCTTTCAAAAGGGAAATAGTGGAGTACAGGACTAATGCTTTTCGTTAACCTTTCGAATTGGACTTGTTGTGATTGGAATATGGACTGGTGCTTTGCGTATTTGTACCGGAATATTTTTTACACGTGCTTTATGAGCAGGCAGCCGAATTGTGGATTTGTCTTCCACTTGCAAAGCAAAATGTTAGTTGCATGATTTGTAGTAATTGTTTTAAGCTATAGGCATGTAATTACCTTTTTTTTTTTGGCAATCGATTAGGATTCTCGTTAGATAGACCCATTAAGGTTTGTGAAGCATCATCTACTAAGATTTATCTATTTTTACATATCAAACCTAAAACTCATTTAAGTTTAAGTGAATCTCAACTATCTTAGTACACCTCTCAATGGTAACATGTAATTGTTCAAGAATTAGAATCGTCAATATGGATTTGGCCCGCTATTTTACAAGAAAATTCAAATACACTTGATAAAGATGATTTATTGGTGTTTTAAGAAGAGTTAGTGGACCGCGTGAGGAGTAGTTTTGGATTCTTTGGGTTTTGTGGCTTCAATGGTTTTAAAAGGGAAGTAGTGGAGTACAGGACTAATGCCTTTCGTTAACCTTTTGAATTGGACTTGTTCTGATGGAATATGGACTATAGTTCTTTGCGTATTTGTTCCGTAATTTTTTCGTACGCCTGCTTTTATGAACAAGCAGCCTAATTATTGATTTGTCTTCCACTTGCAAAGTAAAATCTTTAGTTGCATTATTCGTAGTAATTGTTTTAAGCTATAAGCCTGTAATTCTTTTTTTTTTTTTTTGGCAATCGATTCGCTGTTAGAATTATAAAAAATCCACTACTAAGATTTCTCTATTTCTATATATTAAACCGAAAACTATAGTTTAAATCAAATTGAAACTCACCTATCTAGCACACCTTTTGATAATAACATGTAATTACTCGACAATACACAATCAACCGATTTTTAATAAAAAATAAAGTTATGTCAAGTATGTCTTTTTTGTTGATATTGAGACCGGTTTTTCTTTCATAATGATGCGTGCACGCATGCATTTAGATTAAGAAGCTAATATAGTGGGGTTTTGGCATGCTTTTTGTGGCTATTGACACCGATTGTTCTTTCATAATTTCATTATGATGCGTGTAAGCATGCATTTATCTTATGAAGCTAACAAAGTGGGGTTTGGACTATGATTAAGCAGTTCGGAATTTGCATTGTTTTGGAATATCTAGTTTCAATCTTGTTTTTGATCAATATTAACCAATCAGCTGATAGGTAACTTGCTTTTGATTGAGGTTAGAAAATAGATAAAGAAAATTCGACCAATGTCATAAGGTAGTACCGAGTACGGAAGACAAAAAGGAAGTGGTATAGTTTTTCCCTGCGAACTTTATTGATATTACTTTTATCCAATTTTTACCATAAATGTTCTTGGATGGAAGTTCGAAAATTGATACTTGAATTATAAAGTCTCTTAGTTTAGCTTGTTTTATTGCAAAGTACTCCCAGGATGTAAAAACTATGAATTTGAAGAGATTAAATTGATTTTTAGGTTTCGCATAAGTGCTACTATTTATTTTTTATTTGCAGATTAGTTGTTTATCAATATTGATTACAATTTTTGCTTCAACTTATCTACTTTTAAAAATATTATAGGAGCAAGCATTACAATATTGTTTTCTTGATTTTGTATTTCATTACAAAAAAAGAATAAAAGAAGATATCTTCTAACGGCTCAGATTTTGATACAGTGATGACTGAACAGGCCACGTTAGCAAACATCGTTCCTTCCGTCAGCTCCTAACTTCCTATCCAGTCATCACGCTATCTTAAAGATGAACAAATACTCATTTCACTCCTCTCCTCCACTCCCACTTTCACTTCTCCAAATCTTCCAATTTCATGGACTCAATCTTCTCTCCAAAACCTCACACGCTTTCTTTAATTTCTTGCTCTCCAATCTCATCTTCTCTCATTCCTCGCCGCCACCAATGCCTTTCCGGTTCTATCCAGAATAATTTACGGTCCCCTGGCCTTCTTCGCTTGCGGAGGAAATGCCGAAATATTGGCTTTCAATTCAGCGCTCATTCTTCGCGATTTGTCCTCAGAGCTTCTCTTGATTCGCAATCGGTTGTGGTTGTTGCTGCCGTTGTCACTATCTCTGCTCTTACAATCATCTTTTTTGAATTTTCCAAACGAAATGCCAATATTAAGGAGGTAAGCTCCGTGATTACTCGGTCTTTATAACATTACTGGTTCACTTCTTACAGTTTTTTGGTTATTTTTCCAAAAGAGATGCCAATTTCAAGGAGGTAACTCTCGTAATTTTACGATGTGTATGTGTCTGAGCCTGAATTCCTGTTTTAGCGTGTCTATTGTAGTACACGAATGTGCTTTACTTAGTGAATTAGTGTAGATGTTCATATCTAAATGCTATTGTCGTTGTTTAATGTAGATTACCGTTGGTTCGATACATGCTCCTTGAATATGCTCCAAAGCTAACTCTTTGCTTCTTCAATTAGTAATTTGGAGTAGTATATTAGAAATGTGAGGCAATATATTACGCTAGTTGTTAAAGTTTAGTTTGATAGAGAAATTTGTACAAAATTTTTACATATGAATAGTTATAAAGGTTGATGAGAATTACATAAAAATAATACTCACTCCGTTTCAATTTAAGTGACTTAGTTTCCTTTTTAGTATGTTAAAAAAGAATGCCTCTGTCTAGTAACTCTCTGGTAACAATATCCATACGTTGTTTAAGACTACAAGATTCAAAGGGCAATTTGGTACATTATACGCTTCATTAATTTAAGATGACAAGATTCAAAAGTCCTTAATTTTTTAAACTTTGTGCCTAGTCAAACTAAGACTCTTAAATTGAAACAGAGGGAGTATTATTAGTAGACATCCTAAAATATAAGGTGGAACATGAACATACTCTAGTGTAGATGTTTATAGCTAAATGATATTATTCACACAGTTTAATGTAGATTATTATTAATTCACCATATGCTGTTCGAATATTATCCAAAGCAAACTCTTCACTTATCTTCCAGAATTAGGAAAGAAAAGAGATAAAGGTTGATACTTGTATGTATAACAGACTCATGCAGATTGTGATGTGTGGTTAATTTTCCTGGAATAAACTAATTAAATAAAACAATTGGACATGGAAAAAAGTCGGTAAATGTAGCAGGGCTACCAAAGGTTGGAAATGCTTTGGTTTTGCAGATCAGTTCTGATACAACAATAACAAACCCAGTTAATTCCCACCAGTGGGGTCTGGAGTGGTTAGTATGTATGCAGCCTTACCCTTTTGACCATTTTTTAAAAATCTTTTTCTAGTTTTGAGTTGCTTCATTTATCAGTCTATTAACTCCCATATGATACTTGAATGACATTTTAAAATGTCGTGGAAGTTAGTACGTTGTATATGAGAGACCAAAACTAGGCAAAACACAACCTCTAGAACAACGTTTCTTTCAACAGACAAGTGTTTGGTCTTAGTAGTCATCTTGGAAACGTTGGGGTCTACCATCTCAACTCCTAGTTTCTGAATAAATTTATGGAAATTAAAAATATTACATCTGAAGTTTTCTGGTCATTGGCATCTAATAAAGTAAGATAGAATTTTCGGTCATTGGTACTTACAACAAGAGTAATTTGTTCTTAAGACATTAACAAGAGGTGTTACAGTTTTACCATAGTTAATTGAGGAGGAGACATATTTCTGATGTCCACAATTTTTCATAGATTTCAGCTGAGCTAACTCTTGCTTTGCGGCGACAAATAAGACATGTGATGAACTGGTTTCCACGTCATGTATTTGCTCTTATAAACATACAGGAGGAGAAATCCATCGAAACTCCAATGAAGGAAGTATCCAAAGTCAGCAATGAGCGTGAGAATGGGGGGACTGATGTGCAACTAGGTGGAACCTATTTGATGCAAACCGTCATTACCAACAAAATTGAGTCTGCAGATGCTAATCAGATGGCTTCTAGTTCCGGTGGATCTTTGACCTTAGGAGCACCTGGATCTAACACACATGCTGAATCAGATGTAATACCATCATCTTTTGTGGCAGAGTTGCACAACAATTATCTGCAGGAACATCTACAGGGAACTAAAACGAGTAACAGATTGACTACAGAGGAAGTCAGTTCAGAGCATAGTGTTGGTTTGTTTCCTGCAATCAACATAGATAAAGGAATTGAAGAAACCAAGAAAACAGACCATGCACTCATGGTGGACGGCGGACTTAAGATAGCCCATAAACATGTTGCAGAGGATGAAGTTAGTATCCATAATCTTATTTTCAGGGATTCTGCACGCAAAGAGTTGTACTCGTTCTTTGAGGCATCTACCAAAAATCTAAATGGTCAAAAAGCATTGACTTCTCATGCTTCCGGTGAACGCATTAGTGTCTTTTCACACACCTCAAAAGTTTCTTCAATACAAGCAGGTAAGGCATCTCTTCAGATTCTTGTTATACAGCAGGGTGTTCAATGGAAATGCTGCAACCTCTTCATTCCATTTTATCTTTTTTTTTTGTACACTGCCCTTGAGGGTTCTTTTTTCTTGGTTTGTTTGCTTTTTCCTCCGTGTCCCTCTGTATGGATTTTTGACGAGATTTAATTATTTTCCAGAGGATTTTAAGGAGAAAAGGCCTCATGGATGTTATAAAGAAGGACCATTCAATAACAAGGACATTGGGAAAAGAAAGCACCATTTCACTAAGAAGGAAAAGAGCATTCTATTGGACAATGGTAACACAAAGCAGTTTCCGATTCCTAATCCAAAGGGGATCCAAGTGTGTGATGGACCTCAACCATCCGATCAATTCAGAGCTTATCGCCATTTCCTCAGAGAGGGCAGGTAACCTATTGTTTGACCGGTTGATTTCATTATTTGGACTGGTCGTAGGCTTGTCATCAATAATATTCCATGAAAAGATTAGCACATAATAAATGATACTCCCTTCATTTCAATTTATATGATACACTTTCCTTATCAGTCCGTTCCAAAAATAATGACACATTTCTATATTTGGAAACAATTTAACTTTAAACTTTTATTTTACCAACTTTACCCTTAATCAGAAGCTTTTGTAGTCACACCAATGTCATGGCCCCACAGAACTTTTGCCCCTTAAACTTTTAGGACATTTTTTTTTTCCTCTTAAACTTTGTACCAAATCAAAATACATCATCTAAATTGAAACCGAGGGAGTATTTGTGATGTACTTATAATAAAAATGATACTTATAATGTCCAAATGTTATCCTGTCGGATTTTGTCCTGCTTCTTTCTCGTAAAACTATTGCAATAGTAACTAAATTTAACAAAATGATATTACCGATTGAAATAAAATTATATAACCACAGGCTGTGGAACATCCTTGGTCTGTTGCTCTTGTTTATACATTCAAGCTCACACACAAGAATTCCTGCTGCAGGTTGATGGACTGCATAGAAAGGCTTGACAATATGGAAAGGCACGGTTCATTGAATATGGATAAAGTAAACTGCTCGCTTATATTCACTTCATATTCTATTTATGAATTTTGGCTTGTTGGTAATTTGTTAAAGATCCCATTACAGGTGTATCATGCTGGTTTCTTCCAAGCCTGTAAAAGTCAAAAGGCGGTGAAGGAAGCTTTCCGTTTCACCAAGCTTATCCAAAATCCAACTCTAAGCACATTCAATATGCTCTTGTCTGTATGTGCAAGCTCACGGGATTTGGAGGGTAAGTTTTCTTTCTCTTGGTACTTATTCCTGTTTCTTTTTGTGTAAGGTTCTTTGACGCGGATTGACGGACGCAAAACACACACTTAAATTGTGCTCGCTAGTCAAAGATAGTATAGTACAATATCGTATTCACAAGGATTGGAGTTAAACAGTATTATCGTAGTTCGTAGCTCGATTGCTATCCAGGAGGATCAACCATGGGGATTTATACAATTAAGAATTGAAATTAACTAAGAATCTAAACTATTGACTAATGACAATCGCAACAAAGGTAAGCAAGGAAGTTGTCAATGGGAGAAAATATGGGTTGATAGCATAGGTGCAAGATAATTGTTCGGGATCTAACTCTAGATAATTCACTTCTAATGTTCAAGTGAGTCTCTCGAATTCACTTAATTATCAGTACGATTGTTTAGTAGAAATTCTTCTCTCGATTAAGTTTCAACCTCATAATATGAACCAATTTAAACTCGGTGAAGATATGCAAGAATTCCTAATGGATTGGTCTTTAGGAGAACCTCTTTCGATTATCCTCCTAATTAGGTTTAATCAAGGATTCAACTAGCTTCTTTCGATTACTTAGAAGAATCTATGAACTCAACCAACAATATAGTGCAAATATATCACAAGTTATGCCTCTCTCGATTACAAGAACAAGTGAACATAGATACAACAATTAAATTTTCCAAAAACGATTCAAATACAAAAAAGTAGAGTTATAATCCACAAACAACTATCAATACACCAAATCCATCAAAATCCAAAAGATTCTACTCCATAGACATGGGATGAAACAAAAGTATAGGAAAACATAAATACAATCCAAACCCGGATCTTGGGTGAGGAAGGAAGGATGAAATCCTTGTGCTCTATCTTCTCCTTCTTCTCCTTAGCTTACTTAGGTCTAAGGTATGTCAAAAGTGTAGAAATGGTATTTTTTCCGTGTATTTAAACTATCCCCCAAATAAACCCCGGACGAAAATACCCTTTTTAGCGGAATTGGGAACATACTCTAACATTTTTGCACTACCGCACCGCATGCCGCGTCGTTGTGGACAATTCCAGAACACTTTGCCAATCATTTTCTGGGCATAAATTACACAGCCGCGGCGCCCCATGCGGTGCGGCAGTGTATTTGTCTTAGAGTACTTCGTTTTTTTCCAATTTTGACATCCGGACTTGGTACTTGACCCCCGAACGCGATCCCGATTTAATGCATTGGGCTTCTACTCAGACTTCAAAGCTCCAAATAGCTCGAATTTGCTCCGCAACATCTAAATAACTCGGAATCATTCCTACACGGCATACAATACATAATAAGTGCAAAACACTACTTATTAAAGCTCAACATAAGTAAAGTGCAGTGAATTAGAGTACAATAAGCGACTAAAACACAAGAATATAGCTTACCATCATGGATAGAGAGGACGAAGTGCAAGGGGACATCTTTTTCCTTAGACTTTGGAAATCGAATTTCAATAATTTCTTCTGAAATACAACCATTTGTCTTTATCCCGTCGTAATTATGGTCAAGTTATTTTGTTTGCTTAGGTGCTTTTCGAGTGCTTCAACTTGTCCGTGAAACTGGACTGAAACCTGATTGCAAGCTCTACACTACTCTTATATCAACTTGTGCAAAAGCTGGGAAAGTTGATACCATGTTTGAGGTAAGTGCTTCGATTGTGGTTTCTCATGAAGAAATGTTATATTTATAGCTTATCTGTGATTTTCATTCAAGGGTCTTTTTTCTTATTTAAATCCTGTTTATCTGAGTGAATGTTGGGCCTCTAAGGGCCAAGATATGTGTTGCAAATGTGGATGTTATGTTGGCTGTGCGATTAAACAAGATTTAAACTAGATTATAATGAGAGAAATTCACTTAAAATGACTTGGTTATGTCCTACGGCGACTTCCAGATGCACGGTTCGTAGGTGTGAAACCATGATGAAGGTGTTAAAAGGGGGACATGGTACACCTAAAATCACATGAGAGGAAGTTCTCCGGAAAGACCTGCAATCTCTTGGAATCCATATGTAGAAAAAAATAGATGAAAAAGATACATATAGAGTCTTATTGATTTTAGAGATTTGTATGTAGAAAAATGTAAAGAACTTCTAGTGTTACAGAATCTAAATTATTGCATATTAGATCTGGGATCTATGCTGCATGGACTCTCCAAAATTCTGCTGCTCGTGTCGGATCCTCCAAAAATGCACTACCTTTGGATGGTATGACACGCAACAACGCACCTGGCGACATTTTCGGAGAGTCTGAGCAACATAGTATGGGATAGGTCTAAGTGGAGCGACATGTATAGTGAGGGATTCATACAGCCGGTCTTATATAGCTTGGGTTTTAAGTCATAACAATATCTGGCAACGGGACAATGATGTCAACGAGTACTTCAAAGGGGAGAAACAAATTCACGACATTTCTCATAATTGCTTTTTAGACTGAATGATAGTTGATATGCTGCTCCCATTAGTTGCATCTTGTTTTTTATATAAGTAAACCTGCATGAATTCTTTGAATCTTACTGCCTATCCTTGCACCTTGTATGCAATCTTTCGAGTTGATATTTTCTGAAGTTGTAGGTTTTTCATGAAATGGTCAATGCTGGAGTTGAACCAAATGTTAATACATATGGTGCACTTATTGATGGGTGTGCTAAAGCTGGACAAGTTGCAAAGGCCTTCGGTGCCTATGGTATAATGAGATCTAAGGTATAAATTTATCTACTTAGGGCATACAATTTTAGAGGGTATTGCTTTAACATTTCATTCATATCAGCTTATTATTTACCAAATCATACTGAAAAGTGACATGTACTTAGACCGCCAAATATCTCACGTTGGATTCATGTTGTATTCAGTAGAATGTGAAGCCAGATCGTGTTGTATTCAATGCTCTTATCACAGCTTGTGGTCAATCAGGAGCAGTGGATCGTGCATTTGATGTCTTATCTGAGATGAAAGCAGAAGCACGACCAATAGAACCTGATCAGATTACTATTGGGGCTTTGATGAAGGCATGTGCAAATGCCGGTCAGGTATATGTGCATTCTGTTTTTGCTTAAAAATCTATATCTTGGTTGAATGGGACTGATGTTCCCACATTTATTCTCTTCTATCATGATTAACCATGGACATCAATTGCTTTAGGTTGATCGAGCTCTGGATGTTTACCGTATGATTGATAAATATGATATCAAGGGCACAGCAGAGGTTTACACGATTGCTGTAAATTGTTGTAGTCAAAATGATAACTGGGATTTTGCGCGCAGCATTTATGATGACATGACTAGAAAAGGTGTTTATCCAGATGAGGTAGTAATTTTTAAACTGCTGTGTTTGCATATCAGTAAATTATTTTACATTTTGATGACTTGAAATTCTTAATTTTTGTTGGCCTCTATCTCCAAAATATTGCTTCTCAACCATGTTGCAAAAAATCAGAGCTTGATGCATCCATCTTTACATCATTTTGTCAGCATTAAATCAAAACTTTGCCACTGAGATCTTTGACCGTATATTTTTAAAAACTTAAGTTTCGTTTATTTGTGCAGATGTTTATCAGTGCGCTGGTAGATGTGGCAGGGCACGCTGGTAAGTTGGATGCTGCATTTGATGTTCTAGAAGAAGCCAGGACTAAAGGCATAAATGTGGGATCTATGTCATATAGCTCATTGATGGGAGCCTGTAGTAATGTATGAACATTCCTTTTTGTGTTTCTTCATATAGACAAATGTACTATCTCTGCTTTCTGCTCTCTCTCATCTCTGCAATGGATGACTAGAACTTGTCTGTTTACGGTTATCTTCCTCTTCGATTGAGATCTCAATATCAATATTGTGGCTTAAATTTGCATTTAAAGATGGAAATTGATATCAATGAGTACTACCTGCTCTTGGTCTCAATATTGATGTGGATTTGATCCCAGTGTAGTTTGGATATGCTGTAATAGGATGAGAATGTCATAAAACTTACTTGTTCAAAATTATGTGCAATACTGACATCTTTTTTTCCATATCTTGTGGTTAATGAAGCTTCCTTATGGCAAAATGTAGTTTTTCATGGAACAATGTGAGAAGTTTTGAGAAACATACATTATGCAAATGCGACACTGCCTTCTGTTTTTTCATATATCGTGATCAAGTAGCTTATGTACCAATTGTGTGGGATTTAGTTGCTTAATCGTAAGACACGTTGACTCCTAAATCTCCAAAGAATTTGTCTTATTCACTGTGTGCAGCCTTCTTTTATGACCGCGAACAATAGTAATATTTATGCCACTTTTATAGTTTATTGTGTTTTATAGATGCTTCTAAGAAGTGATCATCAGACACGTAATGAAGGGAGAGATATAGAGGGAGGGATGTCTTACCGGTCACTATTCTACCAAGCAAGCCCTCGAAGTAGTCAACCTGTGTTCTATCTGTATTTCTTTTGCCAATCGTGAAGTAGCTTTTAGGAGAATTTAAAATAGTGAAAAGCATCAAGGAGAAACATCTTGTCATGGGAAGACACTGTAGACAGGGAAATAGTTGGAAGAGATCCATAGTTAACCAGTGCACTAATAAACTCTAGTTCCCTTTACTATATTTCCAACAATAGCAGAAGAAACAATACGTCAAGTCAAATCAGTATCAGGTTGAGGTTAAGAATTCCTTGGAAGACCATATATTTAACAAGCTGGAATGTATATCATGTTATGTTCCACTTCTCTGTCTAAAATAAAGAAATATCTTACTAGCATTAGTTAGGTGAAATATTTCACTGCTGCCAAAATGAACCTGTTTTTGCTGTTATATCTATCATTTCAACAAACATGGACTTTCTTTCTATCAATAGCAAGTATTAGCCCCAATACCCTTAGATGCTGCTAGTTTTCTTTGTGCATCAGAGGCTCTATTGGTCTTAATGTTTCTTTCAAAATCTTGTGACTTGGTTTAAAACACTTTTCAAATCCATCTGCAGGCAAAGAACTGGCAGAAGGCACTAGAATTGTATGAGGATATTAAAGGCGTCAAGTTAAAACCAACCGTTTCAATGATGAATGCATTGGTAACTGCATTATGTAAGTCACATTTCTCTTGAAACTTTTTCTCAGCGTAAGAGCATTTCACTGATGCTTGTTTTGGCTCTAAATATCTAAACTCTAGTGTTTTTCTTTCTCCTGATCAGTTTTTATTTTTATAAGGTTCATTATTCAATACCTATAAGTGGTCTCAGTCCATTGCTAGAGCTAACTTGGATGTTTCTTTCATGATTCAGAATCTAGCTTCAATAATTGCTTTTATAACCTTTCCAGATCATCATCTTATTTTTTGCTATGACACCTAATATGTTTATAACGGAGGACGACCTTACTTTGTAGGTGTCTGTATATGCTGGTTCCCAGTTCTTGTGTATTTGCTTAATTTCCTCAATGAGATGTGTTTGTAATAGGTGATGCCGATCAATATCAGAAGGCTCTGGAAATTTTTTCTGAAATGAAGAGAGTGGACCTATGCCCTAACACCATTACATACTCCACTCTGTTAGTGGCAAGTGAAAAGTAATAGCTTGATTCCTTTACATTGAGGTTTATGTATATGACCACTATCTCCTGTCAATTTATCAGTTTTGGTATATCTGAGTTTTATCATTTATTTCAACTATCTCATGACAGAAAGGATGACTTGGATATTGGCCTCATGCTTCTTTCTCATGCTAAAAAGGATGGCGTTTCCCCAAACCTTGTTATGTGCAGATGTCTTCTTGGTAAGAATTATAAGCTTGTTATTTGATTGCATAAGCTATATTGTATCTTGACTTGATGTACGGTGCTACAACATCCTTACGAAGAGGGATTGGCTGCTTTTCTTTTATTTGGATATGTTCATAGTGGTGGAAAGACTAAACAAATGATTTTTGTTTTAGGCCCGCCCATCTGACAAATTAACAAGTTGAAATTTGATCCTTCCATCAATGGGATCAGGCATCTATATTATGGTGTACAGGGAACAAAGTTTTGAGAGATTTTGGTTCCCGGGCACCTACTGATACTTATGTGACAATTATGGCTACGTCCGTCTTATATGGGGGAAACACAAGGATAAGCCTACCTTATTGCTAGAAGGGCCTTATAGCTTATACATAAGCCTGCTCGTTGGTTGATTTTGCTTCTGGAGCATTTATATCTAATTGACCCCTTCTAGCAATTCTTAGACCAAATGAAGGTCATAAAAGATGATACCTCTGTGCATAGAAGAGTTTCTGAGCCAATGATGGACTTTCTGGTCATGTCCTTTTTACACGGTGGCCACGAATGGACGAGCCTATGACCTAACCTCCAAGCCCTTAAATAAGCCTTCGATTCAGTGGATGCTGCTCCAGGAGCATTTTGGCTCCAAATAACGATCTCCTGGAAATTTAGAATTAATGAAGGTGATAAGAGATGCTGGAATTAGCAGTGAGCAGGGAAGTGAATCTCATGTGGAGATACTAATCTCCCTAACCAGTCTAGGATAAGTTGGATTCCTTTGGTCTGTTGCTACTCCACTAAATCCATTCTTTAACACGGACTTGGTGTTTTTATCAAATAAATTTCTGACTTGTCACAAAAGAATAGAAGTGCCTTCTCTTTGCCCAGTCTTTGCTAAGTTTATAATTTATTGTGCCACCGTAACTTGGCATCACCCATGGAGGGAAAGGCCTTTTGCTAGTCACACCATTAGCTGTAGGAACTTCCTTCAAAACCGAATGGTGCTTAGTGTGGAATTTTGTGCATATAACCATGGTGCCAATGTAAAGAATGTTTTTAGGATATCATCCAAGTTTCTACTAGAGTGGCATGCTTCGTGAAGCCAGTATCAGTAACCATGCCCCCCTCACTTGGTCATTGTAAAGAAGAGGCTCACAACCTTCTGCAGTTTTTGTTTTTTCTTGTCCTTCATAACAAGAATGTTCACTAGTCCTGCCATTATTTTTCACTTCTACTGTAGCAATGGAATTTATTTGTTGTGTCATTTGGTTTGGACATCACAATTATTTGATTATGTGGATTTTTCTTGTAGCTATGTGCTTAAGGNAGCTATGTGCTTAAGAAGATTCCAGAAAGCTTGTACACTTGGTGAGCCTGTCTTGTCTTATAACTCTGGTCGCCTGCAGCTTGACAGTAAATGGTATGCTTCTATTTAATCTGGTATTGATTCTGACATGTCTATTAAAAAGGGAAAGCAGAAGGAAAATTATATTCTGTTACAGTGATGATGATGTTTAAGATCAACATCTCCATCTAAAATGCCTCCAGTAATACTGTACCACCTCTTTATTGTTATTGTTATTTTAGTTTATCAGATACTGAATTCTGAAAGCTTTGAAATGTTTAGGCTCAACTTCGTGGTGTATTAAGATGGACGTAAAATTATCTTTTAGTGAATGCCCTCAATTTCTTTGTAAAAGTAGTTTATATGAGATGCCATGTTGAACATACTGTTGCAATCATGTAATGAGATAGACTGGTTGTCATTTCGATTCTGTTACATATTTCAGGGAATTTGGCACACAGTAAGAAATTGTCTTTAAGAATATTCTTTTCTTGAGTGGATAAGGGGACTGGACTGCTTGTGCTTAGTGCAAACATAAAAGATGTCACTAATGTTATTAACATGCTGGCTTTGGAAAAGACTTTGTACATATAGTGGTCACTATTTCCTAGCACATTTGTGGCTGAATTATTTGAAATCTCAGATGTGTAGGCTGGTGGATTTATCATCACATCTTTCATGTCTCTCTTTCCTATTTCTCCGACTATATGTCATTGAATCAGAAAAGATATCCGTCCCTTAAGTGGCTAAACAGCTCTTTCTGAGGCCAGGAAGAAACAAATTTCTTTTTTTCCTCATGAAATTCTTAATTGGTCTGCAGGACATCGTTGGCCTTAATGATCTACAGGGAAACAATTGCAGCTGGTGTGGTGCCCACAATGGATGAGCTATCACTAGTTCTGGGTTGCCTACAGCTTCCTCGCGATGCATCACTGAAAGAAAGACTTATTGAGAATCTAGGATTAACTGTTGAAACGTCAAAGGGCTCAAACCTGTGCTCTTTGATTGATGGATTTGGTGAATATGATCCCCGTGCCTTTTCATTGCTTGAGGTCCGTGGTCTATCTTAGTTGTCTTTTATCATGTATGCAACTGTATCTTGTTGGTTATTGTGGTGGATCATCTCACACGATATTCTTGTTTCTTAGGAGGCAGCTTCACTTGGGACCATCCCTTTGACTTCTTTAAAAGGAAATCCTGTTGCTGTCGATGCGAGGAATTTGCACATTCATACAGCTCAGGTAAGCTTGTGTAAAATCTTACCCACATGAAAGACGAGCTTAGTTAGTTTTTAGCATCATTGATAGTTACTAATAATTGTAAGTTTGTCCTTTTGGCTGCAAAGATCTCTTTTTCTCCTGTTTTTCTCTCTCCCCCCCTTTGCAGGATTCCTTATAGTTTTTAAGACTTAAGAAGTTAAAAGTTACTTTTCATGTATCTTTCTGTATTCCTTTTGCTAATCTTATACATTATATGGGTTCCCCATCCATTTTCTAGACAATTTTGCTTATACTTGTTTGGTGGTTTTCTTTTCTTATACTTTTTTCTTAAAATTAACCAGGTATATCTTTTGACTGTCCTAAAGGGTCTCAAGCATCGTCTGGCTGCAGGTAAACAATATTTTGATACATACAAATCTTCTTTTAAGTGATGGAGTTTTGAAATGCCATGCATGTATATTAGTGGATTGAAATTCACTCCAAATTTCCCTTCAGTGATAGCTTGTTTCTATTTGCTGTGCATATTGAAATAGACTGGAAATATCTTCATTATTAGAATAACTTGATTTATATTTAACATGGGAAATCATGCAGGTGCAAAAATACCAAACATATCCATTCTACTCCCTGTAGAGCAGTCACATATTCAGACACCCACTGGCGAGAAAACAATTAAGATTGCTGGAAGGTAACCAGAAGAAATTTCCATTTTGCATGTTCGTGTAACGCTTCTTTTCTAAATTAAAGTTAATATCGGAACATGGAAAGGACAAATGTAGGACCGAGAGAATTATGTTAATTTGGTAGTACAACAAGTCTTGCATTTTTGGTAATGCCTCGCATTAAGCTACAACTTTTAGTAACATTTTCGTGTCTCACATGCACTATGAAAGAAACCAAAAAATCACTAGCTGGAGAAAAAAAGAAAGCCGAGGTGCCATTTGCAAAAGTGAAAAACATTTCATTCCAAGTTAGCTTAATAGCGTTAATTCTTCTTGTGCTCCAGTACATATTTTGCCTTCTTTTTTCCGGGAAGGCTTCGATACAGCATTGTAGGAGCTGCAGAATGACATAACATTCAAAATGCTCTTATTTGGTCAACAGGATTAACCGGGCAGTTGCAGCACTTTTGAGGAGGCTTGGCTTGCCTTATCAAGGGAATGAATCATATGGGAAGATTCGAATCAATGGTGTTATTGTGAAAAGGTGGTTCCAGCCGAAGCTCGAATCCCCTTTCAGTTGGGAACAGACAAATCTGAGCTTCTCCCAGACACGGCTAAGAAAAGGAATAAGCCATCAGCAGCGTAATATTCGAACAAGCAATTTGTCCTTAGATTAGGAGACATACAAGGAGGCTAATAAAAACTAGGTATCACATTTTCTTAATTACTTGATGCTCTGGTTTATCACCATGATACAAGAGAGTGCTGTAGCTGCCAGTTGACATTTTAAGGGAACTTGGAGAACTGGCTTGGTACCGTTTCTTGATGCTGGAGGAGAAAGAAGCAAGAAAAAAGCATCCAAACTGAGGGAGCCCTTGTACTGCAATCCGTGCTCGTCAATTTTGGACCAAGTATTTATACATGATGATCATATGAAGTGCCACTGTGTTGTTCATGTGCAGTTTTGTAATATTGAGTCGGGCTATGATGATTAGTCATATGTGGCTGTTTGAGATAGACGAGTAAATGTTATCAAATCAATATATAAATAAATAAATTATATAGGGATCTTTTTTTCCATTTAGCATCCCATCCCCTCAATTTTTCATAATAAGATGTAAGCTCTGGACTTTCTCTTTCTGCTACTTCCCACTTCGATAACAACAATCAATTCAGGGGTCATTTCGTGGGTTGTATTAGTAATTAATCCCAACATAATAGTGTCTTTAAAAAATAAAATAAAAAAAGAACAAAAACCAAAAAGCTTCCCCAGAATTGTCACTTCTTGCTTTGCTACCCAAGGATGCATTTAAGTTGCTGCGTTCTCATCATGCACTTTTCTTAGGGGTCATTTCGATTTTCGTTGGTTGTATTAGTAATTAATCCTAACATAACATTTCACATAATCTAATACATTATTTGGTTGGCGGCATAAAAAACAATCGCTTCATGACTAACAATGTCTGGGTTGGCAGTATTATATATTGTCAACATATAGTTATTCGAGAATTTATGTATTAATTTATGCAATATGAAATGTAAAATAGGAATGCATGTGTATTAGCAATACCAGGATCAGACTATTTAAAATAAAAATACTCTTAAAATAAGTTATCCCTACATAATAATTCCTTCATTATTTGTGACAACAAAATTTCATTATTAATCATCATATAAACAATCTCTGCGTAATAACTAGTATGTGCGCCAAACTACCAAATGACCCCTTTAAAGCATTAGCAAAAACCATTATACCTCAGATCGAAACAAAGCCTCAATTATAGCTAAGAAATCATGCTTGTATCCATCAGCATGGAAATGATTCCGAGGAATGATCTTTGTATAAAAGTAGAAAGCAAAACAAGCTAGCCCAGGCCCAACCCAAAAGATCCAATGCCCATTCCAGAGATGGCCTCCTCTTACAATTGCAGCTCCAAAACACCTAGCTGGATTCATTCCAGCTCCAGCATAGCCCTTTTTAGCAGTAACTGTAGTTGAAATAAACACAAGAAGGCCCGCTAAAAGCCCAACAATGGACATAACACTAATAAGCCCAAGTTTCTTGGACTGGCGATGATCATAGGCCATCCAAAGTGACCCAAAAAGTAGAGCAAATGTGCATAAAAACTCGAGCCAAAATGCTTGGGCTATCTCCAAGCCCACAGTGGCTGGCCCATTGGTCCCTGGTGTGATTACCTGTAAGAAGAATTACTTTATTGCTTAGACTAAAAATAGTCGGCGAAAATATAATATATGTATAATTCATATATAATATGTATATAAACATCTATAATCAATGTCTACTTATGTATTAAAAAAAAAAGGCAGCCCGGTGCACTAAACTCCCGCTATGCGTGGGGTCGGGGAAGGGCCGGATCACAAGGGTCTATTGTATGCAGTCATACCCTGCATTTTTGCAAGAGACTGTTTCCACGGCTCGAACCCGTGACCTCCTGGTCATATGGCAGCAACTTTACCAGTTACGCCAAGGCTCCCCTTCCAGTGTATAATTATGTATATCGGGCTAAAAAGAAACCAACTAGGCACCAACTGTTTGTGTAAAGACCCCTTACCGTAATGGTACAACCACCAAGAGAGAATCTCTGTTCAATGGTACTACTCACCACAGCTTTGAGTGCAAGTGCACCTAAAATAGCACCAAGACACTGTGCTGTTATGTAAATTATGGCTCGTGACATTGAAATTAGTCCAACAAGAGCAGAGGAGAAGGAAATGACAGGGCTAATGTGGCCTCCGGACACAGGAAATACGGCGAGGATTAGAATGGTGAGTGTAATTGCTATGAGAAATGACATTATCAAATTTGGCATTTTGACATCACTTTCAAGGGTAGAAATCACAATGGTATCCAACATAAACACAAGAACCGCACTGCCTAAAAGCTCTCCAACTGATGCTCGCCAAACCTATATACACAAGTCAACAACATGTTACTTAAAAGTCATCTAAACATAATTGTTTATAATGAATGTAAATTGATAACATAAAAAATATGATGAGTAACTTGTTGTAATGGGTACGCTGGTAGTGTAAAAATTATTTATACATAACTAAAACTCACCAGGACATTTAAGGACAGTGATTGTCGAAATTCTTAAGTATTCCATTTTATATAATATTATTTCTTTTCTAGTTTGTTCTATAAAATAATGATTTATTTTTATATTTAAAATTATTATTTTTAAATTTTTTATTTTACCCTTAATGATATGCTTTTATAGCTATGATATGGTATATTAATGACCATAAGTTGTAAAGGTAATTTTGGTATGTATAGAAAGTTTTTTCTCAAAGTATGCTTTATCACCACCGTAGTATAAAATGAAACAGATGGAATTAATATACTGACATCCAAAGAGAAGAAGTCAGGCAAGCCCAGCCTTTCAGCCAGTGTGAGAGAAGTATACTTCTTCTTTTCGTCATCTAAGCTGTTAAAAAAAAACCAAACACCATACATGTTAAGAACAAATATAAAGTATATCAAACCAAGAAAATACTTTTTGAAGCTTATAGAGTGGTGAATGAAGAGAAAATAAAAACACTTATACTTTTGTGTAGAAATGAAAGGTTGAATTTTGTTACTACTTGCAAAGGAAATATTCTGGCTTTCTTCATCACCCAAAACATATCCATTAGTGGAATCCATAACTGACAGAAAAATTCGCCAAGGCGTTTAATGCCTTTCTCGTGAAAAGGGTGTACTATAGCTTCTTATATTAATTAACGTTTATTTTTTTATATACAGTATATGCTTAATTTTAAGTTTTTTCTATGTCTATATCGAGCTGGTGATTTTTAGCGTTTTCATTCATTGTTAGTGTCAAAATACAACTTAGTCTAAGATCCTTTTTCACGCATATACTCTAAATCAAAGGATAATGCTTTTCGTTTAACAATGAATAAAATCCAATCTACCAAGAAATAAAGGGAAAAAACAAACAGTAAAAATCCTTAATTTGTTAAACTGTAGATACGGGCATATCGCCAACCATCTGATTGAGCTAAAAATATTTAATTAATGTAGTCTAGAAACATAAAACTTGGCACTAAATATATTGTACATTTAAAAATCTGAGTTCAGAATTTAAATATTTATATAGTCATGATATGTTATATCATGCGGATTGTAATATGGCCAAATTTTCATGACATTTATCATGACATAATATCTATTATAACAAATTTGTGGTTCATGACATCTGCCATGACATAATATCCATTATAACAAATTTGTGGATCATGACATTTGCCATGACATAATATCCATTATTAGACCAATGATTTCTTGCTATAAATAGAGGAGTTTCTCCTCATTTGCAAACACACCAATTCAAGAGTTTTTCACTCTTGTCTTTCTTTTTCCTCTTTTATTTCATTATAGAATATTTTGTAAGAGAGTGAGTGTTGGGAAACACTTGTGTGAACCATTTCTTTGGAGTGATCTTGTGAGGTTATTCTCTTGGGGTATTTGGGATTAATTAGAATATTTACTCTAATTTTGTACTCTCTTTTGTACTCTTGTTGGTATAGTGAAATTGCTTCTCTCCGCTTGTGGACGTAGGTCACCTTGACCAAACCACATTAAATTTGTGTCTTCTTTATCTTCTTTAATTGCCGTTATTATCAACTTGCATTGTCTTTGTTATTATCATTATAACGTTGTTTGGCTAAATTTCGCACTACCCGATTTTCCGATCCTAACAAATTGGTATCAGAGCCAGATCTAACTGGGTTAGTTTAAAAAGCCAAAATGACTCTAACAAAGTCTTATGTTGAGAAATTTGATCGAAGTGCAAACTTCGAAATGTGACAATTAAAGATGGAAGCTATCCTAATTCAGGATGGCTTAGATTTGGCACTACAAGGAAAGGAGAAGATGCCGGATAAAATGACGGACAAGGAGTTTACCGTCATAGACAAAAAGGCAAAAGCAAGTATTATTTTAAATCTTTCAAATGAGATTTTGTATGAAGTTGCAGTAGAAAGCTCAGCCAAATGCATATGGGAAAAGCTTAAAACCTTATATATGAAAAGAACAGTAGAAAACAGGCTTTACCTAAAGCAAAAACTCTACACTTTTCGTATGGCTGAAGGTACCTCTATACTTACTCATCTTGATACTTTTGATTCTCTTCTTATGGATTTAAGTAACATAGATGCTGAAATCAAAGATAAGGATCAAGTTGTGTTATTGCTTATTTCCTTACCCCAGTCGTTTAAGCATATAAGAGATACTATGCTTTATGGAAAGGATAATATCTCTTATAAAAATATCAAATCTATTTTGAAATCAAAAGAACAAATAGATAGAGATATTACTGGGAAACTAGTGGGAACCAAGGGGAAGGCTTATTCATAAGAGGTAGATCCAATAAGAAATATTCAAGTAGTGAGAAACCTAAATCAAGGTCAAAATCCAGATACAGAAATGTCATGTGCAAATATTGTCATAAGAAAGGTCACATTATTTCTGAATGCTTTAAATTGAAAAACAAAGAAAAGCATACAGAAAAGAAAAATGAGCACAAAAATACTGACACTGCCGAAGCAAGTGTAGCTGCTGATGAGACTGAGGGAACTATTTTTTTAGCAACTAATAATAGTTTCAAATCTAACAATGAGTGGATTTTAGATTCGGGTTGTTCTTATCATATGTGTCCCAGTCGGGATTTATTTACCACATATGAATCTATTGGAGGTGGAGTTGTCTTGATGGGCAACAATGCTGCCTGCAAAGTTATTGGAAAAGGTACAGTCCGAATCAAAATGCACGATGGTGTGGTGAGAACTCTCACCGATGTTAGACATGTTCCTGACTTGAAGAAAAATCTCATCTCTTTGGGCACTCTAGAATCTCTTGGGTGCAAGTACACAGGTGAAGGTGGAGTTCTGAAAATTTCTCATGGTGCTCTTGTGATCATGAAAGCACGCAGATCTGGTACGTTGTATACTCTTTTGGGATCTACTATTACAGGTGCTGCTGCAGTTTCAATATCAGATAAATCAAATTCTGACATCACTAAATTGTGGCATATGCGATTGGGGCATATGAGTGAAAAAGGTCTTTCCATCCTCAGTAAAAGAGGTCTCTTATGTGGCCAAAGTACCGAAAATATGGAGTTCAGTGAACATTGTGTGTTCGGGAAGAAGAAAAGAGTCACCTTCAAATCTCCAGTGATTCATAGAACAAAAGGTACTTTGGATTACATTCATTCAGATCTTTGGGGTCCTTCACGTACCCCATCAAAAGGTGGTGCCAGGTATATGTTAACTTTCATTGATGATTATTCAAGGAAAGTTTGGGTTTATTTCCTGAAAAATAAAAGTGATGTTTTCTTAAATTTCAAACAATGGAAAGTTTTGATTGAGAAGCAAACAGGAAAACAGGTTAAGCGGCTTAGAACAGATAATGGCTTGGAATTTTGTAATGATGAATTCAACGAATTTTGCAAGAATGAAGGAATTGCTCGACATCGTACTGTGAGAATGACACCTCAGCAAAATGGTGTGGCAGAAAGGATGAATAGAACTCTTTTGGAAAGGGCTCGTTGCATGATTTCAAATGCTGGGTTGACAAACGCCTTTTGGGCAGAAGCTATCTCTACAGCTTGTTATATTGTCAACCGAGCTCCTTCTGCACCTTTGAACTTTAAGACTCCAGAGGAAATATGGTCAGGTACTCCTGCTAATTATTCCGATTTAAAGATATTTGGTTTCCCTGCATACATGCATGTAAATGATGGAAAATTAGAGCCAAGGGCTAAAAATTGCATTTTCCTTGGGTATACATCTGGGGT